CTAGCGATGTCCGCGATGTATGGCTGGTGCGCACGATTACTCTCGAAGGGAGTATCCGATTTGATCCAAACTTGGTACATCGCAATATTATTGTCAAACTTAGACCGAGTTCGATGATGGGCAATATAAGTGTCCGATTGTCTTCGAATTGCACACATAGCAATATTTTTATTAATCTAAGATCGGATGTGAAAATGGAATTTATCGATCCACTCCTTCTTCGACACAAGGAGGCAAAATTTTGAATGTTCATGAAGCTCATAAAATCCGAAATAAGCATCCGGTTCTCTTCATATTTCACACATCCCATTATTTCTACTAACACAAGATTTGCTGTGAAGATGGGATATATCGGTTCACTCCTGTGAAGATGATAGATATCTGACAACCTCTTCTGGTTGCTCACCCACAAGGCGTCACAATTTCCAATATTTATATCTGTCAAAACTTGCGAAACGAGTCGGCGATTCTTTACAACTTGCTATATCTAAATATGTCTCTTAACCAGAAATCTGATATGAATATATAATTTATCGGAATTTCGGATTTCGCATAAAATTAGATGTAAATGTTCGATTTCCTTTAAATTTTGCACATACCAATATTTTTATCTGTATTAGATGAAGTATGAAAATGGTATACTTCGTTCCGCTATAGCTGTTGCCCCACGCATATTTTTCAAAAATTTTTCATATCTCATGTAAAATAAAAATATAGGAAGTTGTCGAAATTGTCCAAGTCCAAGCACGTTGTAATATTTTGATCAATCTTATGTCAGATACGAATTGGTCACCACGTTTCCATGGGAAGTTCCAAAGTTCCTTTCTCTAGAATTTTATTTCGTTGTTGAATTTAGATTTGTTCACAGAGATTACAAGCCTTCCTCGAATAATTTAAGTGTTTCAATAATTAATTTTTAAAAATTCTCTCTTATTGCCACTTCTCAATTAGATGATCGCCGACACTGATTATCTGCCAAATAATACTTGTGATCCCTTGTCCACGAGTTTAAACTCCAAATGAATAATAAAGTTCCCCAGGGTTCCCATAATATAAACATTGCAGCTTGAATTTCCACTAAAAGGTGATTGTGATTTGTTTTGTTTTCCACCTCCTTTCGAATTAATTGCGCAGAAATCAAATGCCCCCCATAAAAGAAAAAAAATTCGCATTTCTAGAATTTGTATTCTGGTAATCGTTTAGATTTTAAAAATAAACTATGCATTCGTATGCTAATCTAAGACGACCCACACACATACTTTCGGTTCGGTGTTCGAAAATCTCGGAATGCGATTAAATATTTTTATTGTTTGATAACTGGAGCCATGTTTTCTGTTATTGCTTACCTTTGTTTACCAACATGGGAGTTCTATTAAAAATAAAATTTACGATTGGACAATTAAAAAATATGATGGCGGGGGGGCTTTTAATTTTTGGCTGGAAATTTAGTTTATAACGTCAAATGTCTGATTTTTATAAATATGAAAACCCCGTCGATACATTTTTGGATTTATGGCAAAGAATTGAATGAAGTAAGGGCGTGATTGAAGCTAATAAAATATATGCAATTGCTTGATAAGATTTAATTTTAAATAATCTAATTTAATATATTTGCATTTAAAGTTATATGGGAGAAAATTGGGGATATGGGATGTGTATTAACAACGGAGAAGTGATCAGGTAGACTTATTGGGAATGAACACTTTTTCCAATATTGTCGTAATTTCAAGTTATCTCTCACAGTAAGCTTTTCGAAGGTGCACACACAGAGAGAGATAGAGAGAGAAAATATATCATTCTAGAGCCTAGGTCCCTTTGGAGCAAATCCGTTTCAGGAAAAATTCTAGTTTAATATATTTGCATTTGAAGTTATATGGGAGATAATTGGGGATATGGGATGTGTATTAACAACGGAGAAGTGATGAGCTAGACCTATTGTGAATAAACACTTTCCCATCTTGTCGTCATTTCAAGTTATCTCTCACAGTAAGCTTTTCGAAGGTGCACACAGAGAGAGAGAGAGAGAAAATATCATTCTAGATCCTAGGTCCCTTTGGACCAAATCCGTTTCAGGAAAAATTCTAATTTAATATATTTGCATTTAAAGTTATATGGGAGAAAATTGGGAATATCGGATGTGTATTAAGAACGGAGTAGAGATGAGCTAGACCTATTGGGAATAAACACTTTTTCCCATATTTTGTCGTCATTTCAAGTTATCTCTCACAGTAAGCTTTTCAAAGGTGCACACACACACAGAGAGAGACAGAGAGAGAATATATCATTCTAGATCATAGGTCCCTTTGGACCGAATCCGTTTCAGGAAAAATTCTAATTTAATATATTTGCATATAAAGTTATATGGGAGAAAATTGGGGATATCGGATGTGTATTAACAACGGAGTAGAGATGAGCTAGACCTATTGGGAATAAACAATTTTTCCCATCTTGTCGTCATTTCAAGTTATCTCTTACAGTAAGCTTTTCGAAGGTGCACACAGAGAGAGAGAGAGAGAGAGAGAGAAAGAAAGAGAAATAAAGAGAAAATATCATTCTAGATGCTAGGTCTCTTTGGACCAAATCCGTTTCAGGAAAAATTCTAATTTAATATATTTGCATTTAAAGTTATATAGGAGAAAATTGGGAATATCGGATGTGTATTAAGAACGGAGTAGAGATGAGCTAGACCTATTGGGAATAAACACTTTTTCCCATATTTTGTCGTCATTTCAAGTTATCTCTCACAGTAAGCTTTTCCAAGGTGCGCACACAGAGAGAGAGATAGAGAGAGAGAAAAAAAAATATTATTCCAGATCCTAGGTCCCTTGGGACCAAATCCGTTTCAGGAAAAAATTCTAATTTAATATATTTGCATTTAAAGTTATATGGGAGAAAATTGGGGATATCGGATGTGTATTAACAACGGAGAAGCGATGAGCTAGATCTATTCGGAATAAACACTTTCTCACATATTGTCACTCACACTTTCTCACATAAGTTATCTCTCACAGTAAGCTTTTCGAAGATGCTCACACACAGAGAGCGAGAGATAGAGAGAGAGAGAAAATATCATTCTAGATCCGTTTCAGGAAAAATTCTAATTTAATATATTTGCATTTAAAGTTATATGGGAGAAAATTGGGAATATCGGATGTGTATTAACAACGGAGAAGCGATGAGCTAGATCTATTCGGAATAAACACTTTCTCACATATTGTCACTCACACTTTCTCACATAAGTTATCTCTCACAGTAAGCTTTTCGAAGGTGCACACACACTGAGAGAGAGAGAGAGAGAGAAAATATCATACTAGATCCTAGGTCCCTTTGGACCAAACGCGTTTCAGGAAAAATTCTGATTTAATATATTTGCATTTAAAGTTATATGGGAGAAAATTGGGGATATCGGATGTGTATTAACAACGGAGAAGCGATGAGCTAGACCTATTGGGAATAAACACTTTTTCCCATCTTGTCGTCATTTAAAGTTATCTCTCACAGTAAGCTTTTCGAAGGTGCATAGAGAGAGAGAGAGAGTTAAAGAGAGAGAGAAAATATCATTCTAGATCCCAGGTTACTGCATAGAAAGAGGACGCATAATCCGAGTTTGCTCTAGCTTTGCAGATCCTAATTTTTCCATCAGTGCTAGGTCAGGTGCGAAAATGGACAATATTGGTCCTGCATCAAGTACCTACCCAACAAAGGGTCAAAATATTGAATAAGACTTGGACTATATCGACTACTTCCTTATACTTTATATGAGATATGGTCCAAGTCTTCCTATAGCCCCCATATAAGGGTACCTTCCGATATTCGGTATTTTGATGATTTTAGCGACATTATTTACCGGAATTGTTTCAAATTTGGTACTTGAAGTTCGTAATGGATACTACAGCCTACGAGAGAAAATTGTCCCTCCAGGTCAAAGTCTTCCTATAGCCCCCATATAACGGTAGCCCCCGATATTCAGTATTTTGATGATTTTAGCGACATTATTTACCGGAATTGTTTCATAATTGATATTTGAAGTTCGTAATGGATACTAAAGCCTAAGACAAAAAATGGATCGTGTAGGTTCACGTCTTCGTATAGCCCTCCATATAACGGTAGCTCCCGATATTCGGTATTTTGATGATTTTAGCGACATCATTTACAGGAATTGTTTCAAAATTTGTAATTGAAGTTCGTAATGAATACTACAGCCTATGCCGGAAAATTGCCTGTGCAGGTCCACGTTTTATAACCCCCATGGTACCTCCCTATATTCGATATATTGATAAATTTTAGCTACATTATAAACAGATTTTTTTTCAAGTTTCGCATTTGAATATTGTAATAGCTTATGGCGGAAGTTGCCTATGCAGGCCGACGTCGTCGTATAGATCCTAATATACGGCTACATTCGGTATTTTAAAGATTTTAAAAGGCTTTTTAACGGATTTTATTTTTTTTAAATTGTCAAAATTTCTACCAAATGGTGGAGGGTATGCAAAGTTCCCGGCCCGGCCGAACTTACAGATTTTTTAGTTGTTTTTTTTTTGTTTAATTTTTCTGAAATAAGCGTTCACGCTAGTCCTGAATCAGTGTGGCGCCCAATGTGTCATGGTTATCAAGAAATTTTAATTAATTCCACATCCTTTGGTTTTCTACTTTTCCTGCTTCGGTCTTTTAGCTTGAGACTTATATCGCCATCATTGGAGGGCGAAACGTATCATTCTTATCTTTCAATGTTGGGTTTTTCCCTGGCGGGATATCCTGCCTTGTGACCTTGGAAAAGAAATTTTCAATTTCTTGCTCATTTGCCTCCTGGAGATTTCTTTCGAAAATCCACACAGTTGTTTTTTTTCTTTGCAGGTGGACAAAAACAAAACAAAGTTTTTGGGTATATTCCGCTAATCTTATCTTAGTCCGCATACTCCAAAAATAAATCATTGAACACTTGGTGCAAAAAAAACAAAAAAAAATAGTAATCTCTCTAAACCCCTTAAAGACTGTGGTTGGAACTTATCGACTGGTTAGTATTGAGTGAAACCTTGAGAGAACGTCATTGATTTGGAGCGATGAGTGGTGAGCCGCACAAAATGAATGGAAGCGAAAATTGTAGATTTTTTTTTTAATTTCAAATAAATATTCGTATCGAATAGGAAATTTCAAAACTCCCAACTCGTCCGCACTGGCTGTGGTGCTGTTAATGCTGGGCGTTGTGCTGATGAGGCCCAGCAGCGTGGTGGCACGAGAACATGACCCTTGCCAATTTTTCCCCAACAACACCGTGATACGTGATCCCGACGACTGTAGCCGTGGCCTGACCTGCATTAATTTCGAGTCTGTGGTCACGAAAAACTGCACCGGCAGCAAAGCCTTCTTCGACAAGGATAAAAAAGACTGTGTCGCCTCGCTGTCCGATCACTCGCTATGTCAAATATCTTGCGTCAATGCCACTGGCACGTTTGTGCAGGATCCCAAAACCTGTTATGGCTACTATTATTGCCAGGATGAGTCATGGGCCCGACACGGCACCTGTCCCGACACCTATCACTTTGACTTTGCCACACAATCGTGCATCTATTCCCACGTCTCGAATTGTACGGTGAAAGAGCTGAACTTCTGTGCCATCGTCAAAGATGGCGAGAAATTCAATGACCCCAGCAGCTGTGAGAAATACTTCGTCTGCAAGAAGGGCAAACTGAATAACGAATCGTGCAAGGATACCTATTACGATGCCGTCAAGGGTGAATGTGTACAAAAGTCCAAAGTTGACTGTGCCAATCATCCCGTTCCGGACAAGTTGTGCAATAAAAAGTCGAATGTTTACGTCGCCGATGGTGCCACATGTCGAGGCAGGTTCTATTGCCGTGCCATGGCCACAAATTATGACACCAATCCGACATGGTCTCAGTGTCCGGAAAACCGATTCTTCAGTGAAAAGCACCAGGCCTGTGTCGAGCCCTTGCTTTCCGATTGCACACATGATCGTTGCGAGTCCCGTAATAAAACGTTTGTCGTTAGTCCGACCAAGGGATGTCGTCATTATTTGCACTGTGTCAATGGCATATCCGAGGGCGAATACCCCTGCGGTAATTACTTCTTCGACGAGGAAGCTCAGGCCTGTACCACACGTATTATCGAATATCCGGTGTGTGCTGCTTAAGCAAAAACAACAAAAAAATTAATAAATTAGGAAAAATGGGAAATTATGAAAAGCAGAGATGTGTGTGTGTCTTTTTTTGGTTATTTTTTTGGGGGGCTGCCGGGTGTGGGGTTGTAAATTTACTTTTTGTGAAAGCAGGGGCTCTCGTCTCTATCTCTTATCAGAGTCTCTGGCCTTCTTGGGCCATCCAACAACTCAGAGAGTAATACTGGCGCCCAATGTCTCACTTAAGACTTTCAGTGGCCGTTCGTTACAGATTTCGTCATTTGACATTTTTCTGAACATCCTCATGCCCTCTTTTAGGGGCGTCTGGCCAACGTCAGCTATAATTTACATCTTTTCTGAGATTGTTGCATATTGGACCGCTCCTGATCCCTTTGGCGAATCTCAAGATTCCCAGGACTTTTGGTAATGAAAATGGGTCGTGTAGGTCCACGTTTTCGTATAGCCCCCTTACTACGGCATCTCCCTACATTCGGTATTTTGATGATTTAGGCGGCATTATTTACCGGAATTGTTTCAAATGTGGTATTTGAAGTTCGTAATGGATACTACAGCCTATGAGAGAAAATTGTTTGTGCAGGTCCAAGTCTTCATATAGACCCCTTACTACGGTATCTCCCGATATTCGGTACTTTGGTGATTTAAGCGACATTATTCACCGGATTTTTTTCAAATTTGGTATTTGAAATTCCTAATGGATACTACTGCCTATGACAGAAAATTGTCTGTGCAGGTCCAAGTCTTCATATAGCTCTCATATAGCGGTACCTCCCGATATTCGGTACTTTAGTGATTTTATCGACATTATCCACGGGAATTGTTTCAAATTTGGTATTTGAAGTTCGTAATAGATACTACAGCCTATGAAAGAAAATTGTCTGTGCAGAACCAAGTCTTCGTATAGCCCCCATATAACGATACCTCCCGATATTCGGTATTTAGATGATTTCATCGATATTATTCACCGGAATTGTTTCAAATGTGGTATTTGAAGTTCGTAATGGATACTACAGCCTATGACAGAAAAATTGTCTGTGCAGGATCAAGTCTTCGTATAGTCCCCATATAGCGGTACCTCCAGATATTCGGTACTTTGGTGATTTAAGCGACATTTTTTACCGGAATTGTTTCAAATTTGGTATTTGAAGTTCGTAATGGATACTACAGCCTATGGCAGAAAATTTCCTGTGCAGGTCCAAGTCTTCGTATAGCCCCCATACAAGGGTACCTCAAAATATTCGGTACTTTGGATGATTTTAGCGACATTATTTATCGGAATTGTTTCAAATTTGGTATTTGAAGTTCGTAATGGATACTACAGCCTATGACAGAAAATTGTTTGTGCAGGTCCACGTCTTCGCGTAGTCTCCATATAACGGTACCTCCCGATATTCGGTACTTTGATGATTTTCGCTACATTATTCACCGGAATTGTTTCAAATTTGGTATTTGAAGTTCGTAATAGATACTACAGCCTATGAAAGAAAATTGTCTGTGCAGGTTCAAGTCTTCGTCTAGCCCCCATATAACAGTACCTCCCGATATTCGATATTTTGATGATTTAAGCGACATTATTCACCGAAATTGTTTCAAATTTGGTATTTGAAGTTCGTAACGGATACTACACCCTATGACAGAAAATTGTCTGTGCAGGTCCACGTCTTCGTATAGCCTCCATATAACGGTACCTCCCGATATTCGGTATTTTGATGATTTTCGCTACATTATTCACCGGAATTGTTTCAAATTTGGTATTTGAAGTTCGTAATAGATACTACAGCCTATGAAAGAAAATTGTCTGTGCAGGTTCAAGTCTTCGTATAGCCCCCATATAACAGTACCTCCCGATATTCGATATTTTGATGATTTAAGCGACATTATTCACCGAAATTGTTTCAAATTTGGTATTTGAAGTTCGTAACGGATACTACACCCTATGACAGAAAATTGTCTGTGCAGGTCCACGTCTTCGTATAGCCTCCATATAACGGTACCTCCCGATATTCGGTATTTTGATGATTTTCGCTACATTATTCACCGGAATTGTTTCAAATTTTGTATTTGAAGTTCGTAATGGATGCTACAGCCTATGACGGAAAATTGTCTGTGCAGGTTCAAATCTTCGTATAGCCTCCATATGACGGTACCTCCCAATATTCGGTACTTCGGCGATTTTAGCTACAATTTTTCACCGGAATTGTGTCAAATTTGGTATTTGAAGTTCGTAATGGATACTACAGCCTATGGCAGAAAATTGCCTGTGCAGGTCCAAGTCTTCGTATAGCCCCCATATAACGGTACCTCCCAATATTCGGTACTTTGGTGATTTAAGCGACATTTTTTACCGGAATTGTTTCAAATTTGGTATTTGAAGTTCGTAATGGATACTACAGCCTATGGCAGAAAATTGTTTGTGCAGGTCCAAGTCTTCGTATAGCCCCCATATAACGGTACCTCCCAATATTCGGTACTTTGGTGATTTTCGCTACATTATTCACCGGAATTGTTTCAAATTTGTTAGTTGAAGTTCGTAATGGATACTACAGCCTATGACAGAAAATTGTTTGTGCAGATCCACGTCTTCGTATAGCCCCCATATAACGGTATCTGAAGAAATTGTCTGGATGTTTGATATTCTTAGCATCTTCTACTGTTCTTGAAAGCCTACTGCCTTTTTGGCTATCGATATTTGAAATATTTGGCGCCCAACATATCATTTCTCTTTCTCTCTGAAACCCTTAAAAATTGACTAGGTCCTTAATATTCTTATGCCCATTATCTGATCTAGAGATAATATTCCCTTTTTGGTTTTCGATATTTGAAATCAAGTGGCGCCCAACATATCATTTCTCTCTCTCTCTCTCACTTGTTCTCTCAATCCCTTAGAAATCGACTAGGTTTTTAATATTCTTATTCTTCTTCTGATCTTGAGGGCCTATTGCCTTTTAGGCTCTAGACTTTTAAAAAACCCGGTGGCGCCCAACGGATCATTTATAACTTATCTTTATTCCTTCGAAATGAACTAGGTGTTTGATACCTGGCGCCAAATAAAAATCCACTATAGACGGACATAACAAGAACATCCACCCTACATTGGTATCAAGTGGATTTGAAAAAATTCGTTAGAGGCCTCTGAGAGGCCAAACCAAAAAAAAAAAAAAATAAATAAAAAAAAAAACAATTTAAAGCTTCTTCCAGAGCTGTGAGTTCTGAAAAGTCTTTTTTTGGAAATTTTCATTGAAAATGCTTTCAGGGATCTTCAAGAATTCCTTTCCAAAGACCAAGCTTTTAAGGGTTTTGAGAGCCTAAAAAATAAATTGTTTTTTTAGTTCAACTTTGCAGCTGTTTCCAGAGTCCTTGGAAAAAAATCGCAATAAAAATGCTCTATAAAATGGTTCTGGGGAGCCTCCGGGGGCCTTAAAAAAATAGGGTTTTAAGGGTCTATAATTAAATTTTTAACTGCTTTGGGGGGCTTCGAACAATTAAAAAATATATCCCAGAGGGATCTTTGGGGCCTTAGAGGTTTTTTTTTAAATATTCCCTCCAAAGCGGAATTCGGAGCCTTGAAAAATGTTGGACTGGGGCTCTGAAAAATTCCCTTAAAATGTGATTTGGGGGCCTTGAAAATGTTATTAAAGAAAATACACTTAAAGTCACAGCAAGAGGGGGGGGGGGGGTTGGCTTGAAAATCTCTTAGGAAATCCTCGTTAAAAATGAATCCTTAAAAAACCCTCTGAAAGAATTCCAGATTCTAATTTAAATCAGAATTAAAGATTTCTCAAGCATTTTACTAATTTATTATTTTGTTGTTGTTTTTGGTGTTGGTGTTGTTGCAACTCTTTATCATTCACAAGGCACAAATGGTATAGGACCTTTCCTGCTCCACACACTGCTCCGAGCTGACATCGAAATATTTGCCATCATCGCATTCGATTGGGGCGCCAAGCGTATAACCATTCTCACAATTTAAATAGTGCCGGCATCCGGGAATCGGCGCCAATTCATAGCCACTGGGACGTCCAATGCAGCGGTCCTCATCGCATGCGACCTCAGTGCGCGGGCGACATGCCTCCAGTTTGGCATCGAAAAAGTATGATTTGGGACATTCGCCCCAGTGGGGGTCTTGGTCGGGATTACCCGATCCCAGGTCGGCACAATAGAAGTAGCCATTACAGGTGGCTTGATCGCTGACGAAACGACCGCGAATGGCCAGTTTGACGGTGCCACAGACGCCTTCGGGCACCGGGTGTTTGTAGCAGTCCACTTGGGCTTTGGCCAAGCATTCTCCGGCACGTTTGTCATAGTACTGGCCGATGGGACAGGTTCCGGTTTTTTGCTCTGCATTTTCGTTTTTGCTGCTGATTTTGTTGCAGTAGAAGTATTTGTGACAATTGTCCTTATCCCAGAACTTATTTTTTTCACCGTAGGCAGCAATATCGCAAATCTTATATTCCTTATCGCACACATAATCGTCCTTCGGATAGTAGCACTTTTGCTGGGCTGCATCGAATACCTGACCCGAGGGACAGGTACCGGAGAGCAACACTTTGCTGCCATCACATTTGATCCAATCGTGGCAATTTCGGTTACCGGAAATCCAAGTTGGAGATTTTGCTTTGCATTCATCGGTGCAATAATCATCTTTGGGTGAACCACACGTACCACTCAAAGTGGTGAGTTTGCCGCCGGTACAGCTGTCGGTGGCGGGAGTGCTTTTGCCATCTTGGCAAATAATCCATTCAGTACAGGAACCGGGTTTGCGTAGCTTGGCACCGTTTGGAAACAGAGAACAGACATTCTCATCGGCGACCAGGTTCCATGTTGTGTATTTCTCCGCTGCGGAGCTGCATTCAATGCTTAACCAAATCAACAGACTTGGCAGGGCATAGGCTAGAAAAAAAGGATGAAATAAAATAAAAATTAAAAAAAGGTTTTTTTTCAAAAAGTCCTCTCTCTCTCTCTCTGTGTCTCTTTTACCGATTTTCATGTTGATTTCTGGCGTTGTTTGTGACCTTCCAGCACAGGTGTATCTAGCGTACTGAAACTGAAAGTGAAATGTGAAATTTCATTTATGATGGACAATATCGAAGTGCTGCCAGTTTTTTATGTTTTTTTTTTGAGTTCATTTAATAAATTGAAGTATTTATAACAACTGATTAGCTAATGAATATCATATCAATGATGCCATTCTAAATATTTACTGACAGCAGGTTCATGTCATCGTTTTTCATTTTGGGTCTTTACCTGACAATGAAGAAGATAAGAATTGCCTGAGGATTGGAGAACAATTTGTATGTATGCGAAAAGAAATTTTAGGTTGATAGTTGTTTTTTTAGATAATTTTTTTATTTTGATTTTTTTGGTCATGATTTTCCGACCCCTTTGTGTGGGGGAGCTACATGAAGGAGTGGATCGATGTATTCCATATTCACACCAGATATTGTGTTAATAGAGATATAAGGCTGTGCTGAATTTGGAAATAATCGGTTGCCTATTTCGCATTTTATGAGAGATATAATTATTCAAAATTTTTGACCCGTTGAGGGGGAGGTACCAGAAGGAGTGAACCGATATGTCTCATCTTCACACCAGATATTGTTTTGATAGAGATGTTAGGCTGTGCTGAATTTGGAAATAATCGGTTGACCATTTCGCATTTTATGAGAGATATAATTATTCAAAATTCTGGACCCGTTGCGGGGGAGGTACCAGAAGGAGTGGACTGGTATAATCCATCTTCATACCAGACCTTGTGTTAATAGAGATATTAGGTTGTGCTGAATTTGGAAGTAATCGGATGCTTATTTCGTATTTTATGAGAGATATAATTATTCACAATTCTGGACCCGTTGTGGGGGGAGGTACCAGAAGGAGTTAACCAATATGCCCAATATTCACACCAGATATTTTGTTGATAGAGATATTAGGTTGTGGTGAATTTGGAAATAATTGGTTGCGCATTTCGAATTTTATGAGAGATATAATTATTCAGAATTCTGGACCCGTTGTGGGGGGAGGTACCAGAAGGAGTGAACCAATATGTCTCATCTTCACGCCATACCTTGTTTTAATAGAGATATTAAGTTGTACTGAATTTGGAAATAATCGGTTGCCCATTTCGCATTTTATGAGAGGTATAATTATTCGAAATTCTGGACCCGTTGTGGGGGAGGTACCAGAAGGAGTGAACCAATATGTCTCATCTTCACACTAGACCTTGTGTTAATAGAGATATTAGGTTGTGGTGAATTTGGAAATAATCGGTTGCCCATGTCGCATTTTATGAGAGGTATAATTATTCGAAATTCTGGACCCGTTGTGGGGGAGGTACCAGAAGGAGTGAACCAATATGTCTCATCTTCACACCAGATATTGTGTTGATAGAGATATTAAGTTGTACTGAATTTGGAAATAATCGGTTGCCCATTTCGCATTTTATGAGAGATATAAATATTCAAAATTCTGGACCCGTTGAAGGGGAGGTACCAGAAGGAGTAAGCCAATATGCCCCATCTTCACACCAGATCTTGTGTGACCAAAAATATTGGGTTGTGTGAAATTTGTAGGAAATCGGATGCCTTTTTTTTCGAATTTTATGAGACTTAGAATAATTCACAATTTCCACCTTTTGTTTGGGGTGTGTGGGAGGTATTTGATGCAGTAAGCCGATATAGCCCATTTTTGCACCTGATCTGGCACTGATAAAAATATAAGGATTTGCAAAGTTTAAGCAAAATTGGCTGATCCTTTCTTGTTCTATGAGTAACATTATTTTCCATGAAAAGAGAAAATATTGCCCATCTCCGAACTCGATCTAAGTTTTACTGCTAATATTACAATGTGCTAAGTTTGGACCGTATCGGATACGCCCTTCGACACCCAGCCACGCACAGATAGACGGACGAAGGGATACCTCCTTCATTGACTGTTGTATGGGTGGCCTCAGGGGCCTCTGCTGTGGAGTAGGTGGCTTCAGGGGCCTATACTACAGAGTTGTAGAGCTCAGTGGCCTTTACTGTAGAGTGGCTGAGCCGAAGGGGCCTCTCTTGTTAAGTGCTGGCCTGAAAGGCCTCTAATATTTAGTAGCTGGCCTCAGTGGCCTCCTACTGTTGAGTAACTGGTCCAAAAACCTCTAATAATCAGCAATTAGCCATAGAGGCCTCAACTATAGAATATCAGATCTCCGAAGCCTCTACTGTGCAGCATTTTTATCGTCCATTAACAAACTCCATTGAAAATCTCATATCTCCCACTGTACGTTGGGCGCCATTCCTCCTTTAATGTTTTGATTATGCAATCATTTTTTTTTTTTTCAACTTCACAGCTTCTCTCTGGAGATTTTCAAGGATTATTACATGACTTATGGCAAATAAAATGCACTCATTATCTTTAAAATCCTATATTGACCCGAAAGTCATTTAGTCAATTCGATGTATGCTTTTCCTTTGGCTTTGATGATTCTCTTATTGGCCAACATTATAGGTTCTTGCGAATCTTGAGGACTTGTAAAAAAAATATTCTTTATGGAACACATATGGCTTGTTGCTTGTCCATTGTCAACTCACCATTTTCAGATTGTGTTCCGGCAGCAACATTAAAACAAATTATATTGGATGCCTAAAAATATGCTTTGAAAAGTGTCGATTTATTATTACAAAATATTAACAAAATTATTGTACTTGGCAGCACTGGCAGGCTATGGAGTAAGACCTTAAGAGCTACATGTTCATGTTTTCGAATATATTTAGGACATGCTCCGTGCTCTTAAGGTAAGGATAGCTTGCCCTATAAAATGACGGGCTCCTAAAATATCAAAGACAATGTTAATAATAAGAGAAAAAAAAGGAACCTATTTTGGTATCAAAGCCATACTTCATGTGAGGTACATGTTAGGTATACGAATTTCTTTTGTTCAGAGACTCGCAATGAAATTCGATTTAGAATAATTCTTCCTTTGAAAATCTTTCTCGAAAATGCGAGGTTATGGGAGATTTTGACTTCGAATGGAAACCTGTTAAACTGGCAGCAAAAATAACATAACAATTTCCAATTCTACAAATAATTTCCAATTGTAAATTCGCAAAATTCGATTGGAATTTTCTTAAAAACAATTAAACCTGGATAAATAGTTTGTTCTGAGATTTATAGTGAAATTTTGTGTAGAATATTTCTTTCTTTGACACAGTCTGCCTAAAATGAAATTTTATGTTAGTTTCAGGCGTAAACCGGAAAAGAGAAGGAATTTTGATCAACAAAAAAATTTTTTTTTTGTTTTTTTTTTTGTCAACTTTGTTTGATTGGAATTTTCTTAAAAACAATTAAATCTGGATAAATAGTTTGTTCTGAGATTTATAGTGAAATTTTGTGTAGAATATTTCTTTCTTTGACACATTCTGCCTAAAATGAAATTTTATGTTAGTTTTAGGTGTAAATTGAAAAAGAGAAGGAGTTTTGATAAGAAAAAAAATTTTTTAATATTTTTTGTCAACTTTGTTTGATTGGAATTTTCTTAAAAACAATTAAACCTGGATAAATAGTTTGTTCTGAGATTTATAGTGAAATTTTGCGTAGAATATTTCTTTCTTTGACACATTCTGCCTAAAATGAAATTTTATGTTATTTTCAGGTGTAAATTGAAAAAGAGAAGGAATTTTGATCAAAAAAAAAAATATTTTTTTGTTTTTTTTTTTTTTTTGTCAACTTTGTTGCCAATTTTTTCTTGATATAGAATGGAAATAGAGATTTGTCGTCTTTGGAGACTTATAGCAAAATTCGATGAAGAATATTTTGGCCTTTAACGTCATCCCCCTAAAATGAACAGACATTTCTGAAATTTTCGTCTTAAAATTCCTTGATAGTCGTTTATTTTATGTAAACATGAAAAATTTATTTTATATATCAAAATTGATGATATTTTTTTCATGGTACGTGTCGATTATTCAAATTATTGTAGTTCCGAAACTCACATTGAAATTTGATCTAGATTATTTCTTACTTTCACAGTTTGCCCAAAAAATGAAGTATACCGGCGGATTTTGACTTAGAATGAAAACGTGTTAAATTAGCAGCATAGAAACGTAAACGCACAATTTCCACTTTTAATATGCAAATTTCGATTGTGATTTTCTGAGAAACTATTAAACCTAGATATATGATTTATTCGGAGATTTATAGTGAAATTTTATGTAGAATATTTCCTTCCTTGACACTATCTGTCCAAAATGAAATTTTATGTTACTTTCAGGCATCAACTCGAAAGGGAAGAAGAAACTTTGATCAGAAATTTGTTTTTTTTTGAGTTTTTATTTTTCTCAATATTGTTGCGAAAATATTCTGCATATATATTGGAAAGAGAGATTTGTTTTCTTTGGAGACTTATAGTGAAATTTGATGAAGAATAATTTGGTCTTTGACGTCATCATGCTAAAGTGATGTTTTTTGTGGGAGAATTTTACATAAACACACATAAGCTAAAAATGTGTTTTTAGGGGTGAGGTGAAAAAAAAAAACTGCAATAAAGTCAAACGCCATAATTTAAAATTTTTTTCTTTAATTTTTTGAATGAAAACAAAAAATATCGGAAATAGCATAAAATTTTAGAATAACTTTAGATTTGTTCGAATTGGTTACATTTCGCACGAATTATGGCCTTTAAATGGTTAATGAAACCGTCACACGCTGCCCGAATGTTGCTCTGCAGTATTTTGGCCCATTTCCGGCGAAGTGCATGCTTGAGGTGATCGACACCTTGGTATTTTTTAGTGCCAACCTCCTTGCTTTCAGAAAAAATACTTCAGACACAATAGTCCAACGGATTGGTATCCGGAGATTTTTTTTGGTGGCCATTGTGCGCTGGAAATGAAGCGAGGAATCTAATTTTGTAACCATTCTTGGGTGGTGCGCGTGCTGAGTGCTGAGTCCTGTTGGAATGTCGAAGGTCTACGGCCAAAATGTTTGTGTGCCCAAGGCCACCCTCCAGAATATTTTCGCGATAATATTCGGCATTTATTCGGATGCCATGGTCGATTAATACCAGTGGAGAGGTGGCCCACATCATCACCATGGCCGGCCAGCGCTTGAGTTCTGGTGGCCAACCGAAGGTGCACATTTTCAGCTGATCTCTTTGGTTTACAAACTGCTGGACAACGAATGTTTTCTCATCGGAGATCGGAGAAAACCAAATTCGGCAGTTCACCACTTTTGGCCAAGCGAAGCAACTCTTTAGCTCTTTTGAGTCTATTTTCTTTCTGTTGCGGTGTAAGTTCTTGCATTTTTTGGAATTTCAATGGCATTACCCCGAGCTCATTTTCCATATAGCGGTACCTCCCAAAATTCGGTATTTTAATGATTTTAGCGCCATTATTCACCGGAATTGTTTCAAATTTGGTATTTGAGATTCGTAATGGATGCTACAGCCTATGACAGAAAATTATCTGGGCAGGTTCACGTTTTCATTTAGCCCCCATATAACGGTACCTCCCGATATTCGGTATTTTAATGATTTTAGCGCCATTATTCACCGGAATTGTTTCAAATTTGGTATTTGAGATTCGTAATAGATACTACAGCCTATGACAGAAAATTATCTGGGCTGGTCCATGTCTTTGTATAGCCCCCATATAACGGTACCTCCCGATATTCGGTATTTTAATGATTTTAGCGACGTTATTCACCGGAATTGTTTCAACTTTGGTATTTGAAGTTCGAAATGGATACTACAGCCTATGACAGAAAATTATCTGGGCAGGTCCAAGTCTTCAAATAGCCCCCATATAACGGTACCTCCCTATATTCGGTATTTTGATGATTTTAGCGCCATTATTCACCGGAATTGTTTCAAATTTGGTATTTGAGATTCGTAATGGGAACTACAGCCTATGACAGAAATTTATCTGGGCAGGTCCACGTTTTCATATAGCCCCCATATAACAGTACCTCCAAAAATTGGGTATTTTGATGAAATTAGCGACATTATTCACCGGAATTGTTTCAACTTTGGTATTTGAAGTTCAAAATGGATACTACAGCCTATGACAGAAAATTATCTGGGCAGGTCCAAGTCTTCAAATAGCCCCCATATAACGGTACCTCCCTATATTCGGTATTTTGATGATTTTAGCCCCATTATTCACCAGAATTGTTTCAAATTACGTATTTGGAGTTCGTAATGGGAACTACAGTCTGTGACAGAAAATTATCTGGGCAGGTCCACGTATAGCCCCCATATAACGGTACCTCCCGATATTCGGTATTTTGATGATTTTAGCGACATTATTCACCGGAATTGTTTCAAATTTGGTATTTGAAGTTCGAAATGGCAGAAAATTATCTGCGCAGGTCCAAGTCTTCGTATAGCCCCCATATAACGGTACCTCCCGATATTCGGTGTTTTAATGATTTTAGCGACATTATTCACCGGAATTGTTTCAACTTTGGTATTTGAAGTTCGAAATGGATACTACAGCCTATGACAGAAAGTTATCTGGGCAGGTCCACGTATAGCCCCCATATAACGGTACCTCCCGATATTCGGTATTTTAATGATTTTTAATGATTCACCGGAATTGTTTCGAATTTGGTATTTGAGATTCGTAATGGATGCTACAGCCTATGACAGGAAATTATCTGGGCAGGTTCACGTTTTCATATAGCCCCCATATAACGGTACCTCCCAAAATTCGGTATTTTGATGAAATTAGCGACATTATTCACCGGAATTGTTTCAAATTTGGTATTTGAAATTCGTAATAGATACTACAGCCTATGACAGGAAATTATCTGGGCAGGTTCACGTTTTCATATAGCCCCCATATAACGGTACCTCCCAAAATTCGGTATTTTAATGATTTTAGCGCCATTATTCACCGGAATTGTTTCAAATTTGGTATTTGAGATTCGTAATGGATGCTACAGCCTATGACAGAAAATGATCTGCGCAGGTCCAAGTCTTCGTATAGCCCCCATATAACGGTACCTCCCGATATTCGGTATTTTAATGATTTTATCGACATTATTCACCGAAATTGTTTCAAATTTGGTATTTGAGATTCGTAATGGATACTACAGCCTATGACAGATAATTATCTGGGCAGAAAATTATCTGGGCAGGTCCAAGTCTTCAAATAGCCCCCATATAACGGTACCTCCCTATATTCGGTATTTTGATGATTTTAGCGCCATTATTCACCAGAATTGTTTCAAATTACGTATTTGGAGTTCGTAATGGGAACTACAGTCTGTGACAGAAAAATGTCTATGTAGGTCCAGGTCTTCGTATAGGCCCCATATATTAGTACCTCCCTATCTATATACGGTATTTTGACGAGTTTAGGTGCAATACCCACCGAAATTGTTTGAGTTATCGTATTTGACGTTAGTAATGGATGCTATAATAGCCTGTGACAGAAAATTGTCTATGCTGTTCCAGGTCTTCCGATACCTCCCTATATACGATATTTTGATGATTTTAGCTACATTATTCACCGTTTATTTCAAGTTTCGAATTTGATTATGGTAATGGCTAATGACAAACAATGCCTATGTAGGTCCACGTCGTATAGAGCCCAATATAACGGCAATATTCGGTATTTTTAAAATTTAACAGAATTTTCTAATTTTTATTTTAATTTTTTTTTTTTAATTTCCAAACTCGTTCCAAATTTTGGCCCGGCCGAACTTATTGCTTTTAAACTTGTTTTTTTTTTTTTTTTTTTTGAAAATTTGACAAATTTTGGAAACAATTTTCGTACCAGAACACTGTGATTTAATTGCTAACATTTATAGACAAAACTTAAGGTGCATTAATTAAATTTTATTAGATTATTTTGTTGAAGAGAAAACATAAATTTTTCTTTTTTTTTTTTAACGAACAATTTTAGAAACATATACTGATCTGTGTAAAATATTATTCTCCAGGGGCTGGGGTGGGGTCTCCGGCAGGTTCATCAGTTGGGGCTGGGGCTCCGGCAGGTTCATCAGTTGGGGCTGGGGCTCCGGCAGGTTCATCAGTTGGGGCTGGGGTTCCGGCAGGTTCATCAGTTGGGGCTGGGGCTCCGGCAGGTTCATCAGTTGGGGCTGGGGCTCCGGCAGGTTCATCAGTTGGGGCTGGGGCTCCGGCAGGTTCATCAGTCGGGGCTGGGGCTCCGGCAGGTTCATCAGTTGGGGCTGGGGCTCCGGCAGGTTCATCAGTTGGGGCATCAGTTGGGGCATCAGTTGGGGCATTTGGGGTCGTGGGAGCAGATGTTGTGACATCACTCAGATAGCAGGCACCATTATTCTTGCGATAAGTGCTCAAGGTGCTATTGTACAAACAGACTTGCGACTGTTCATTAAAGTAATAACCCTCTTTACATGCACCCTCCGCAATCTCTTGGCCATTGGAATTGCACGTGAAATAGTTCTGGCACGTGGGATCGACTTGATTGACCCATGTTACGGTGGCGAATTGACAACGATCACAGCCCTCGGTGGCTACGGCTTGTTGGCGGGCCACACAAGTGTTCGTAATAGTGTCGAAGTAGTTGCCAGTCGGGCAGTTGAGTTTGGTCCACACCTCCGATTTGCATTGATAATAGACGGAACAGACTTTCGTATCACCCTTGTAGTTGCCCTGATCGGCCGTTGTGCAAGGCTCCGAGGGTGGAGTGGCATTTGAGCCGACACGCTTACACATGGTTCCGTCATTTGTCAAGCACATACCTCTGGCTGTGTTGTAGACCTGAAGGAAATAAAAAAAAAAAAAACAATCGGGGTTTGTCTTGATTGGATGATGAAAGAACTAAAAATACTTACCAAATTGCCATTACATGTGCCATTCTTCATGGTGCCATCTATGCACATATGCCAGGCATTGCACTCCTCAAAGTCACCAAAGTACTTATTGTTGGCCATCAACTCGCACAGGTTGGCAACTTCGGTTAATTCACCGTTCGTATCATCCATATTGGTACACTGGCCCCAGATGCACTGGCCCTTGTCGTTGCTGAAGTATTGACCGACGGGACAACTACCACTGCCAGATTGCTGCTGTTTCGAGCAATAGATCCAGTTGACACAGTTCGAGGGATCCTGAACCCAGCCATCGTTTTTGTTTTCACATGGATTTGCAGCGCCAGCCGTGCAACCGACCATCGAGGCGGCCTGACAACTTTGGGTGTTCTTGTTAAAGGCCTGGGATGACAAGCAGTTATCCTCCTGGTAGCCGCCGTTGGCCAGGCACGTATAATACGTTTGACAATTGTCCAAGCTGGGCAATTTGGTGCCGGTCTCAACAAGTTGGCAGTAATGGGTGACGTTATAGGCAGCCATGGCTCCGTTGAGAGACACGGCCATGAAGAGGGCAATGCCGAGGAAAAGTTGTTTGCCTTTGAAAAAATACACAAATAAGGAAATTATGAATAACACATTTTTTAAATGAGGAAAAAATTTAGCTGTATCAGGTCCGGGGAAAGACTCGAAAAAATAACTTGATTTTATAATTACATTCTTTTTAAATCCAATTTTTTTTCCTCTTCTTTAAATGACCATGGGAAAGAAAATAATATAAAAACTAAATAATTCAATATTTTTTTTTTCATTTTTAAAACATCCCTGCCTATAGCTCCTGTGGAGGTTGCAAAAAAAAGATTTAAATGAGGTTTAAATTTGACAAAGTGATAATTTTTGGACTTTTTCAAAAAAAGGGGGCGAAAAAGACTCCAACATAAAAATCGAGGCAGCTGATGTCAAAGGATAAAATTTTCCCCATCAAATTTCATTATGGCTCGCCAAATACGGGAAATCGCTAGATGTAATATAGGTCTATAAAAATTGGGGATAAATTGGAAAATGTTACATTTTTTGGTCATTTTTTCTTTTGGCGTTTTTCAATAATGGATCGAAAATGACTTAAATACCTCTGTATAGGCAGTTGGTGTCAAAGGATGAAATGTTCTTTATTAAATTTCATTATGAGTCTCAGAACAAGAAAAATCCGTAGCTCAAATATAAGTCCATGAAAATGGGGTTGAATTTTGGACCATTTGAACATTTTTGGCCAATTTTTTTTGACGTTTTTCAATAATGGGTCGAAAAGTACTCTAATATAAATTTCTAGACAGATAATGTCAAAGGATAAAAAATTCCTCATCAAATTTCATTATGAGTCATCAAAGAAGAGAAATCGGTAGCTCCAATGTAAGTCCATGAAAATAGGGTTGAATTTTGGACTATTTGAACATTTTTGGTAATTTTTTGCGTTTTTCAATTATGGATCAATAACTACTCTGAAAATTTGTTTTTAGCCTGATGATGACAAAGGATAAAAAAATCCTCATCAAATTTCATTATGGGTCATTGAAGAAGAGAAATCGGTAGCTCAAAAGTAAGTCTATAAAAATGGGGGTTAAATTGGACAATGCAACATTTTTTGGCCATTTTTTTGGCGTTTTTCAACAATGGATTGTAAACGACTTAAATACCTCTGTATAGGCAGCTGGTGACAGAGGATGAAATGCTCTTTATTAAATTTCATTATGAGTCTCAGAACAAGAAAAATCCGTAGCTCAAATATAAGTCCATGAAAATGGGGTTGAATTTTGGACCATTTGAACATTTTTGGCAATTTTTTTTAGCGTTTTTCAATAATGGGTCGAAAAGGACTCTGAAATTGTTTTTAGCCAGCTAATGTTAAAGGGTAAAAAATTCCTTAAGAAATTTTATTATGGGTGTCGGAACAAGAGAAATCGGTAACTCCAAAGTAAGTCTATAAAAATGGGGGTTAAATTGGACAATTTGACATTTTTTGGTCATTTTTTGGCGTTTTTCAATAATGGATCGAAAACGACTTAAATACCTCTGTATAGGCAGCTGGTGTCAAAGAATGAAATATTCTTTATAAAATTTCACTATAGGTCTCAGAACAAGAGAAATCGGTAGCTCAAATATAAGTCCATGAAAATAGGTTTGAATTTTGGACCATTTGAACATTTTTGGCAAATTTTTTGGCGTTTTTTCAATTATGGATCAATATCTACTCTAAAAATTATTTTTAGCCAATTGATGACAAAGGATAAAAAATTCCTCATCAAATTTCATTATGAGTCATCAAAGAAGAGAAATCGGTAGCTCCAAAGTAAGTCTATAAAAATTGGGTTTTAATTGGACAATGAGAGAATTGTTGGTCATTTTTTGGACTTTTTTTTTAAATGGGTCGAAAAGAGCTCTAATACAAATTTCTAGGCAGCTGATGTCAAAGGATGAAACGTTCTTCATTAAATTTCACTATAGGTCTCAGAACAAGAGAAATTGATAGCTCAAATATTTATCCATAAAAATGGACTTTAAAAATGGCCCATTTGAGCGTTTTTGGTTATTGTTTTATGACTTTTTTGTTATTTGTAAAGCACAATTTATTACAAACGTTTCTTAAGTGGGAGGATGCCACTAGAAGAAATATTTAAAAAAAAATCACTATGTGATCCGCAATGATTTTTTTTCCTGCAAATGTAATGTGGTTTTAGAAAACCAGGATAAATTCCATAGAGAAAAAAGGCAGGCAAGACTTAGTTTTAGGAATTCACTGCTATTTCACTTTTTTATGAAACACTTTTTCACATTTTTTTTGTTTTTTTTTTTTTTTTAAATAATTTTAGTTATTCCTTTTGTATTTTTATTTCAGTATATAAACTCACCCATATTGAAGGTAGTTCTTCTTTCGAAATTCGAACTCTTTTTGCTGGTTTTGTAATAACCGTTTCTAAGTTTCCTTGGATACTGTTTGAATCAATGAAATGGAAATTGCCTTTTATAGATGGCTTCGTCGGAGGTCGAATGAATAATATCCAATTTTATTAAATTAGCTATTCTAATATCTAACTACGCATTCGTGATAGCGATTAATGAAACAAAAAAATATTTTAATCTTTTTTATTTTGCTTTAATTCGATAAGATTAAGGGCGTTAATGAACAATTTCACCAAAAAATAAAAAAAAAACTGAAAACAAAAATTTATCTAAATTCATTGGAAAATCACGATCGATTGGGTTTTCATTAGAATATTTACTTAATATTTTTTAAAATATTATTTAGTTTTATGCATAGATGAATGGCTGTCTTGAAGAGGATATTTTAAGATTTCCAATGGTTTTTGGAAAAATTGTAAAAATGACCAAAAATTCCCCTGAAGTCCGAATTTCAACAATTTTTCCTTGAGATATATTATAGTTAGAGATTTCTAGTTTCTGCTAACCCATAATGCAATTTGATAAGGAATATTTCTTCCATTGACCTCATCTTCATAACACAAATTATAATGGTCGTTTTGGCCAAAATTGGGAAAAAAGCAAAAGATGACCAAAAAATGTCTTAATGACTTAATAGATACTGATTTTCACTAAGATTTATTACAGTAAGAGATTTTTTGTGTTCGGTGAGCCATAATGAAATTTGATGAGGAATATTTCTTCCATTGACATCATCTTCTTAACTTGAACTCTAATGGTCGTTTTTGGCCAAAATTGGGAAAAAAGCAAAATATGACCAAAAAATTGCATAAAGTCCGAATTGTTTTCCAATTTTTACTGAGATGTATTATAGTTAGAGATTTCTTGTATTTGGTGACCCATAATGAAATTTGATGGGAAATATTTCTTCCATTGACATCTTCTTCCTAACACGAAAAATAATGGTCATTTTTGGCCCCAATTGCCAAAATATCCAAAAATGGCCAAAAAATGCCTTAATGACTTAATAGATTTTGATTTTCACTGAGATGTATTATAGTTAAAGATTTCTTGAGTTTTGTTACCCTTGCTGAAATGTAAGTAGGAATATTTCTTCCATTGACCTCATCTTGATAACACAAATTATAATGGTCGTTTTTGTCCAAAATTGGGAAAAAAGCAAAATATGACCAAAAAATCGGATAAAGTCCAAATTGTTTTCCAATTTTTACTGAGATGTATTATAGTTAGAGATTTCTTGTGTTTAGTGACCCATAATGAAATTTGATGAGGAATATATGTTTCATTGACATCTTCTTCCTAACACGAAATATAGTTGTCGTTTTTGGCCGCAATTGGCAAAATATCCAAAAATGGCCAAAAATGGCTTAATGACTTAATATATACTGATTTTCACTAAGATGTATTACAGTTAGAGATTTACTGGTTTTGGTGACCCATAATGAAATTTGATAAGGAATATTTCTTCTACCGACATTACTACTCTAGCATGAACTATAATGGTCGTTTTTGGGTCCAATTTCCAAAAAAATGCAGAAATTACCAAAAAAAATCGCATAAAGTCCAAATTGCTACCGATTTTTATGGTTATACATTATAGCTAGAGATTTCTTGTGTTCGGTGACCCATAATGAAATCTGATAAAGAATATTTCACTTTTTGACATCATCTTCCTAAAACGGATCATAACGACCGTTTTTGGCCTCGATTTGGAAAATGCGCAAAAAAATGACCAAAAATTCCCATAAAGGCCAAATTGTTAATGATTTTTTATTAATAAATAAAATGGCTGCAGTTTTTATGTGCATAATGACCTATAGTAAATTTTCTCTCTCTAATTACCCAGCAGTTTTTTTTGTTTAATTTTCTTGTGGGAAAAAATTGCGAACAAATGTAAAAAAATGACCAAAAATATGACTTCTTCATAGCGACTTGTGTTTATGCTTCAGATATCTCTTTGTCGCCGATCCATAGTGAAGTTTGATGATGTCCGCCCCTCTAACAGAAGGTCTCGCCATTTCAAAAAAAAAAAATAAATAAATAAAAAATAAATAAAAATAAATATTGAAAATTTTTAACCCTCAGCTTAAGTTATGGAGCTTTTAAGATATTCTGAGACCTTAAGAAAATTTTAATGGTCAACTCTACTGTATCTATCTATGCTTTGTTTCAATTGGATTTTAAGACTTTATTGAAAAAAAAAAAAAAAAAAACAAATGGACCAAAAAGACCCCTGTGTTGAGTCGCTTGAGGGTTAATGTTTTGTACACAATTGTTCTATGTTCACTTTTCTACAATATTGCCAAAGGGACTATGTATGTAGAATTCAAGGATTACCTAAAAACCTCGAGTTGAATTTTAACAAAAATCTCTTGGAAGGTGGGAGCAATAATCTCCCCCCCCCAAACCCTTTTCCCCGCATTTTTAAGCTCTTCTTACTGTAATCTTATAGAAAATAGACCAAGTCTAATTTTTTAAGGATATTTTTTGCTCATATCAAAAACGTTTAAATATTTTTTAAATTATTGCATTTTTTGTAGTCTTCCATAGATCGAATTAGCACCCTTGGTAACCTGGTCTTAGTACCTTGAAATAATTATTTGAATTTTTTCTCGTTGTGTTTACAAGTTCGTCATCACCCATAAAACAATTCAGGTTCGTTCATGTGCCCCCCAAAAATTCTAATTTCATTTGAAGAAATGAAAAATAAAACAAAATAAATAACGCCATTGACCGTTGGGCGCCATTTTTATCATCATCACAATTATGATTAGTTCCCTAACCCAATATTATGTTGTAATATTCCATAACCTTGAATTAATTTCATCATTTTTCTTTCGAATTCAATTAAAAGCGAATATTTAACAGAATACCAAGAACTAAAAAAAAAACTAATTAAATTTCATATCTATGGAAATTAGAATTTGGCATAGCCCCTCAACATTGTATGCTATCTTTGTGTTAATTGAATTCATTGGAACTCCTCTAGTTTGGTTTGGAATTATGTTCCGACCGCTAAGGAAATAGTTTTTAATCTCGATAAAACGTGATATTTTTAAGGAAAACAATTCCCAGAATTTTGGCTTATCTAATTGGGGTTTGGCATGAGTCAGCTGTATTTCATAATGAGATAATTATTGAATAAAAAAAAATAATTATAATTTGGAGATCTTGAAATAAAACAGCAAATTTATGCAAAAAAAAAAAATGATTCAAGGTTTACCCGGGCTATAAATACATAAATAAATATATATATATATATATATATATATATATATATATATATATATATATGTATATATATATATATATATATATATATATATATATATATATATATATATATATATATATATATATATATATATATATATATATATATATATGTATATATATATATATATATATATATATATATATATATATGTATATATATATATATATTTATGTATTTATAGCCCGGGTAAACCTTGAATCATTTTTTGTTTTTTTTGTATAAATTTGCTGTTTTATTTCAAGATCTCCAAATTAAAATTATTTTTTTTATTCAATAATTATCTCATTATGAAATACAGCTGACTCATGCCAAACCCCAATTAGATAAGCCAAAATTCCAAATTCGAAACAATTCTGCAGCTAGAGTGGTTACCACAGACGGACATCTATATCTGTGTATATATATATATATATATATATATATATATATATATATATATATATATATATATATATATATATATATATATATATATATATATATATATATATATATATATATATATATATACACAGATATAGATGTCCGTCTGTGGTAACCACTCTAGCTGCAGAATTGTTTCGAATTTGGTATTTGAAGTTCTAAATTAATACTACAGCCTAAGACAGAAAATTGTCTGTGTAGGCCCACGTCTTCGTATAGACCCCATATAACTGTAGCTCCCGATATTCGGTATTTTGATGATTATAGCAACAATATTTACCAGAATTGTTTCGAATTTAGTATTTGAAGTTCGTAATCGATATTACCGCCTAAGGCAGAAAATTGTCTGTACAGGTCCACGTCTTCGTATAGCCCCCATATAACTGTACCTCCCGATATTCGGTATTTTGATGATTTTAGCGACATTATTTACCGGAATTGTTTCGAATTTGGTATTTGAAGTTCGTAATTGATACTACAGTCTAAGCCAGAAAATTGTCTGTGCAGGTCCACCTCTTCGCATAGCCCCTATATAACGGTACCTCCCGATATTCCGTCGTCTTGCCAATAGATATATAGAAACTCACGAGGGTCAGCTCGCCTATATAGATTCCCTTTAGCTGGCTGACTGGCTATATATTGAATCTCGGTCCCTCTATATTGGCTCCCTGGCCCCCACTGGCTTTCTAGTTCGCCGATAGATGGACTCCCGATTATTCTATCTTGCCGATAGATATATAGACTCTTAGGAGTTCCAGCTCGCCCATATAGACACCCTATAGCTGGCTGGATGGCTGGCGATATATAGATTCGTTGGTCCTCTACCTTGTCGATATATTGACTCTCTTTGGCCCTGCAGCTCGCCAATATATTGACTTCTTGGCCCTCTAACTTGCCTATATACCCACTGCCTGAACCTCATTCTTGCCGATATATTTGAATCCCAGCTAGAGGACCTGCTCTTCGATACAGAGAATCCTTGGCCCTTCAGCTTCCCTTATATAGACTTCCTGGCCTTTCAGCTCGACTAAATATCACTCCTTGAACGTCTCTCGCTCTCCTAGTTTGAAGGCCAACTCGTCGATTTATAGAATTTTCGTGCCGCCAGCTGCCACAAATTGACAGGCTTTGTAGCTCGTCTATATAGACTGACCTCCTGGCCATCTAACTATCAGATATGTAGATTTTCGGACTCTTAAGCTTGCCGATATGTAAACTCCCGGATCCTCAGATATATGAAATCCCTTATGCTCTTATGCTTATGCAGATATATAGACTCTTTGGCTCTCTAGCTTGTCTAGCTAGGCTCCCTGCCCTATATCGCCCATATATAGAATCCTGGCTCGCCCATATTTCTACTACCTGAGGTTCTAGCTTGCCGATACATAGACTCTCTACAATTCGTAGATATATTAGGACTCCCCGGCCCTCTAGCTTTCCCATATATAGACTTCCTGGCCATCTGACTAGCCAAGAGAGAGGACAGACAAGCATAGAATCCCTGGCCCTCCCGCTTGTCGATATATAGCCCCTCTAACTCCCTGATATAAATCGCTTGCCCTGGCCTCCCTTGTCCTCCAGTTCGCCCACAGGGACATATCGAAACCCCGATCCTTCAGCCCTAGCAGAGAAGAAAGAAACACCCATATAGTTTAAATGAACGCATAGTATTTTATTTTCGAAACGTAATCCAGCTTCAGCTGGGTATCGAGAAAATTGGAAACTTGGTTTAGGCAGTGGAAGTGCCGGTGCTGCTGGATGTATCTGTACCAGTGGAAGTGCCGGTGCTGCTGGATGTATCTGTACCAGTGGAAGTGATAGTGGAGGTACCGGAAGTGTCAGTGGAGGTACAGGAAGTGTCAGTGGAGGTACCGGAAGTATCAGTGGAGGTACTGGAAGTACAGGAGGTGCCGGAAGTGCCAGTAGAAGTACCAGTGGAAGTGCCAGTGGAAGTACCGGAAGTATCAGTGGAAGTGCCAGTAGAAGTGCCAGTGGAAGTACCAGTGGAAGTACCAGTGGATGTACCAGTGGAAGTTCCGGAAGTACCAGTGGAAGTACCGGAAGTATCAGTGGAAGTGCCAGTGGAAGTACCAGTGGAGGTACCGGTGGAAGTACCAGTGGAGGTACCAGTGGAGGTACCGGTGGATGTGCCAGTAGAAGTACCAGTGGAAGTTCCGGAAGTGCCAGTGGAAGTACCGGAAGTATCAGTGGAAGTACCAGTGGAGGTACCAGTAGAAGTACCAGTGGAGGTACCGGTGGATGTGCCAGTAGAAGTACCAGTGGAAGTGCCGGAGGTACCAGTAGAAGTACCAGTAGAAGTACCAGTAGAGGTACCAGTAGAAGTACCCGTGGAGGTACCGGTGGATGTACCAGTGGAAGTACCAGAAGTGCCACTGGAGCTATCAGAACCGGCGGGAGCACTTGCATTCGGGGCATCAGATGTGGTGGCATCGCTGCTGCTGCCATCCGTGGTGGTGTCAGTGTCCGAACTTGGCTTGTAGTACTGGGGATTACAACAACCCAACATCGGATCACTCACACCCATGACACAGGCTCCGACACGCTCATCAAAATAGCTACCATTGGCACAATAACCCGAAGATACCTCCACGCCGTTGACGCAGTACAAATAACCCGTGCAGTTCGAGGCGGAATACATATTGACAAAGGAATTGGTGCTGCCCTCACAACGGTCACAGTCATTGCGGGCCTCCATGCGATTCACACACGTCTGGCTAACGGTGTCATAAAACTCTCCCGTGGGACATTGAGCGATTTGATAGTAGCTGCCATCACAGATCTTATAGGTGTCACAGCTGGGGCCGGCAGCTTTGACGTTCTTGGTACTGCAGGTATTGGGCACCAAGAAGGGGTCATTTGTAACCTAGATATGGGGAGGGTGAAACATTCAATGAGTTCCATTACATGGGTTAGATGTGGCACCACCTACCTGGGAACATGTCACCCATTGGGGATATTCACACATCATTGTCAGAACATTGTAGACCAGACCATCGGAACAGACGCCGCTCTGCAAAACACCATCCACGCACTTGTTCCAGCCATTGCAGGCGGAAGCACTGCCAAAGAACAGACCGCCCGGTATGAAGTTACACAAGTTCAGGGGCAGAGATATGGTAATGGAAATTGAGCTACCGCTGTCACCGCTGCCATCCTCAATACTGATATTACTGTCGACTTCAGGCGTCGCCTCTACGCAGTTATAGTCGCTGGGATAGACACAGGCCTGTTTGACGGGATTGAAGTATTCGCCAAAGGGACAGCTGGCGCGCATCGGACCAGTTTGGCTGCAATAATAGAAATCGGTACAGGAGTTTTCCACGGGTGCCCATGATCCAATTTGATAACCCGAACAGGGTACACTACTCGCCGAGGTGCATTGGACCTGATCCTGGGGCATACAACTTTGATGGTCCTTGCTGAAGATTAAACCGTTGTCACAGATCTGACGAGTGGCCACACCGCCTCGGCACTCGTAGTAGGCATCGCAGGCATCCAGCGAGGAGATCATGAGGCCATCATTGACCAGGGCGCAGAGGTGATTCACATTGAATTTTGTGGAAAAGCCCTGGATGCCAATGGCAAGGGTGGCAACTAAGGCCAACATGAGAGGGATTTTGGTACCTGAGAGAGAGAGAGAGAGAGAGAGAGAGAAGGAGACAAAAAATTATAAATAATATGTATCTAGATAAAGTATTTCAGTTTTCTAGAAAATATAGATAAAGTATCTGCTTTGGTATGAAGGGTACAGATAAAGTATCTAATTTTTTTGGGGGAATCGTAGATAAAGTATCTTTGCTATCCCAACAAACTTGAAAATCGTAAATAATGTATCTTTTGTATTCAATCGGTGTGGATAAAGTAAATAACCCAGGCTATGTATCTACGTTACCCAAATCACCTGGATAAAGTATCTACAACGTGAAAAATGTATCTACATGATCAAAGCAACCTAGATAATGTATCTACATTGTCTAAATATTCTTGACATTGTATCTGGAACTTGAAAAATGTATCTACATTACCAAAGCTACCTAGATAATGTATCTACCCTACCCAAATAATCTAGATAAAGTATCTACAACGAAAAAAATGTATCTACATGACCAAAGCTACCTAGATAATGTATCTACGTTACCCAAATTATCTGAATAAAGTATATACAACGTGAAAAATGTATCTACATGACCAAAACTTCCTAGATAATGTATCTACGTTACCCAAATTATCTGGATAAAGTATCTACAACGTGAAAAGTGTATCTACATGACCATAGCTTCCTAGATAATGTATCTACGTTACCCAAATAATCTGGAAAAAGTATCTACAACATGAAAATGTATCTACATGACCAAAGCTACCTAGATAATGTATCTACATTATCTAAATAACCCAGGTTATGTATCTACGTTACCCAAATTATCTGAATAAAGTATCTACAACGTGAAAAATGTATCTACATGACCAAAACTTCCTAGATAATGTATCTACGTTACCCAAATTATCTGGATAAAGTATCTATAACGTGAAAAATGTATCTACATGACCATAGCTTCCTAGATAATGTATCTACGTTACCCAAATAATCTGGAAAAAGTATCTACAACATGAAAAATGTATCTACCTGACCAAAGCTACCTAGATAATGTATCTACATTATCTAAATAACCCAGGTTATGTATCTACATTACCCAAATAATCTGGATAAAGTATCTGCAACGTGAAAAATGTATCTACATGACCAAAACTACCTAGATAATGTATCTACGTTACGCAAATTATCTGGATAAAGTATCTATAACGTGAAAAATGTATCTACATGACCATAGCTTCCTAGATAATGTATCTACGTTACCCAAGTAATCTGGAAAAAGTATCTACAACATGAAAAATGTATCTACATGACCAAAGCTACGTAGATAATGTATCTACATTATCTAAATAACCCAGGTTATGTATCTACGTTACCCAAATAATTTGGATAAAGTATCTACAAAGTGAAAAATGTATCTACATAACCAAAGCTACCTAGATAGTGTATCTACATTATCTAAATAATCTCGACATTGTATCTACAACGTGAAAAATGTATCTACAAGACCAAAGCTACCTAGATAATGTATCTACGTTATGTAAATAATATCAATATTGTATCTACAACGTGAAAAATGTATCTACATTGTTCAAAACAACCTAGGTAATGTATCTACGTTAGGTAAATAATATCGACATTGTATCTGGAACTTAAAAAATGTATCTACGATATCCAAACAACACAGGTAATGTATCTACGTTACCCAAATAATCTAGATAAAGGATCTACAACGAAAAAAATGTATCTACATTACCAAAGATAATGTATCTACTTTATCTAAAAAAATTTCGAAATTGTATCTACAAAGTGAAAAATGTATCTACATTGTCCAAACAACCTGGGTAATGTATCTACGTTACCTAAATAGACTGGATAAAGTATCTACAACGTGAAAAATGTATCTACGTTACCCATTGTATCTACCCTATAAAAAGGAGTTAGATAATGTATCTACAACGAAAATAACGTTTCTACACTGTTCAAAACATGTGTCCAAATTATCAAGAAGATATATTTTTTTGGTCACAATTTTACACACACACACACTTTTTCAAATACCCGACACGTCCTTATGCTATCCTTACCCATGTTTATTTTTCTGCCTTTGAGTCTATTTAAATGTTCTTTCTTGGGAATTAAATCGAAAACTGTTTTCATAACATTGAAAATTTTGCTAATTTATAGTACTTCAGAACTGGATCATATCTTGAAATTGTTGTCCAAAGGAAAACAACATGGACATCATCGCAAAAATCAGACACATTGTCTACGTTTATCAGCGGAACATAATGATTGATCTGTGTTTTTTCCACTGCTGCGAACAATTAACGTAATCTTGGCAATTTCGACGATAATTCGATTTGTACCGATGTCATAATGGATGGGGATGAGTAATGCGTTTTAAAAATACCCTCTTCGCTAATACATTAGGTCTAAATTTAACTTTTTCACGAAATTAGTCCAGAATACTTTAAATACTGTGGAATGTTAAGCCCAGGCAGATCCAAAAGTAAGATCGATGATTTGTTATTGAAAATAAAAATAGATAAATTATCTAAATTGGTTGCATGCGCAAAAGATGTAGAAAAAAACAAAATGTTAGCCTCAGCAAGGCTCAGTCCGAAGTTCGTTGGAGGTAATTTTTTCGAGAATGACAGAGTATTTTTAGGGTTTGTTGCGGAGAGTTGCAGCTGAGGATTGTCTGCGGTTGTGAAAGAAGTTTAGAGGTAAGTTTTGTAGCTAAGATACATAGATTGGGAATAGATTTTCTTATGGGACATTTTTGGTGATTTTAAGTTTTTTTTTTTTAGGGTAATATAAGAAACCTGCGTAATAATTCAAATTAGGGGTATGATGTCAATGGAAGAATTGTTTGGCATACGATTTAACTAAGGGTCACTAAGCAAAAAAAATCTGTAACTTTCATAGATACCCATAAAAAATCGCAAACAAATTGGGTCATGGCTGAAATGTTTTCCACTTTTTGTTTTTTTTCCGTAATATAGACAAAACGACCATTATTTTAAACATTGGGCTAGTAATGCGAATGGAAGAAATATTCTGCACTAAATTTTATTAGGGGTCGCCGAAGATAAGAAATCTCCAAGTATAATAGATAATAATAAAAAATCGTTGCCAATTTGGGTCATTTTCATAGATTTTGGTCATTTTGTAATTTTTTTTCCAATTTGGAGGCAAAAACGTGCTTTTCTACTCATGCTAGGAGCATGGAGTAAAGGACAATAATATTCTCCATTAAATTTCACTATGAGCCGTCTAAGACAAGAAATTTGTATCTATAAAACATTTCAATAAAAATCGTTATGAATTTGGCACTTGTGATAATGTTTGCCCTTTTCTCAATTCCTACCAAAAACTTCCATTTCTACTCATGCCAGGCGAATATACTAAGAGGAAGAAATGTTCTCCATCAAATTTCACTATGGGCTATCCTTCACACCAAATCCATATCTATAATACATTTCCATAAAAATCGCTAACATTTTGACCCAAATTGTGCTCAAATGCTCATTTTGGACATTTTTCAATTTGGTGGAAAAAACGTCCGCTGTTCTTCATGTTGCGGGAATAGTGTAAAAGGAGGACATATTCTCCATCAGATTTCACTTTGGGTTATCTTTTACACGAAATCTGTATGTTTAATATGTTTCCAAAAAAATCGCTAACAATTTGTCCCTAGTGACTATTTTTGGGTATTTTCACACTTTTCCCCAACTTTTCCCCAATTGAGGTCAAAAACGACCATTATTTGTTATGTTAGGGGTATGATGTCAGAGAAAGAAAAATTCTACAGGATTTTTTATTAAAAGTCGCTGAATAGATAAAACCGGTAGCAACAACAAAACCCCATAAAAAATCATTAACAAATTGGGTCGTGTGAAAAAAATTGGTAATTTTGCCCTTTTTTTCAATTTGATGGCAAAAACGGCCACTGTCCTTCATGTCACGGGGGTTATGATAAAAGAAGAAATATTCTCCATCAAATTTCATTAGAGGTCGTCTTTTACACGAAATCTGTATCTATAATACATATCGATAAATTCGGCTATAATTTGCTACTAATGACAATTTTTGGTCATTTTTGTAATATTTCCCAATTGAGGTTAAAAACGTCGATTATTTGTTACGTTAGGGGGATGATGTCAAGGAACGAAAAATTCCTTGCGGTATCTTACTATGGGTCGCCGCACAGACAAAATATGTAACAACAACAAAAATCAATAAAAAATCGTTAACAAATTGGGTCATGTGACAAACTTTGGTCATTTTGGACATTTTTTAATTTGATGGCAAAAAACGGCCACTGTCCTTCATGTCATGGTGGTTATGATAAAGGAAGAAATGTTCTCCATCAAATTTCACTAGAGGTCGTCTTTCACACGAAATCTGTATCTATAATACATATCGATAAATTCGGCTATAATTTATTTCTAATGACAATTTTTGGTCATTTTTGTAACATTTCCCAATTGAGGTTAAAAACGTCGATTATTTGTTACGTTAGGGGGATGATGTCAAGGAACGAAAAATTCCTTGCGGTATCTTACTATGGGTCGCCGCACAGACAAAATATGTTACAACAACAAAAATCAATAAAAAATCGTTAACAAATTGGATCATGTGAAAAATTTTGGTCATTTTTGACTTTTTTCAATTTGATGGCAAAAACGGCCACTGTCCTTTATGTCATGGGGGTAATGTTAAAGGAAGAAATGTTCTCCATCAAATTTCACTAGAGGTCGTCTTTCACACGAAATCTGTATCTATAATACATATCGATAAATTCGGCTATAATTTATTTCTAATGACAATTTTTGGTCATTTTTGTAACATTTCCCAATTGAGGTTAAAAACGTCGATTATTTGTTACGTTAGGGGGATGATGTCAAGGAACGAAAAATTCCTTGCGGTATCTTACTATGGGTCGCCGCACAGACAAAATATGTTACAACAACAAAAATCAATAAAAAATCGTTAACAAATTGGATCATGTGAAAAATTTTGGTCATTTTTGACTTTTTTCAATTTGATGGAAAAAACGGCCACTGTCCTTTATGTCATGGGGGTAATTTTAAAGGAAGAAATGTTCTCTATCAAATTTCACAAGAGGTCGTCTTTTACATGAAATCTGTATCTATAATACATATCGCTAAATTCGGCTATTATGTATTCCTAATGACAATTTTTGGTCATTTTTGTAATATTTCCCAATTGAGGTTAAAAACGACCATTATTTGTTAGGTTAGGGGGATAATGCCAAGGGACGAAAAATTCTTTGTGGTATCTTACTTTGGGTCGCCGAATAGACAAAATATGTTACAACAACAAAAATCAATAAAAAATCGTTAACAAATTGGGTCATGTGACAAACTTTGGTCATTTTTTAATTTGATGGCAAAAAACGGCAACTGCAATTTATGTTACGGGGGTAATATTAAAGGAGGAAATGTTCTCCATCAAATTTCACTAGAGGTCGTCTTTTACGCGAAATCTGTATCTATAATATATATCGATAAATTCGGCTATAATATGCTACTAATGACAAATTTTGGTCATTTTTGTAATATTTCCCAATTGAGGTTAAAAACGACCATTATTTGTTACGTTAGGGGGGTGATGTCAAGGAACGAAAAATTCTTTGTGATATCTTACTTTGGGTCGCCGAATAGACAAAATGTGTAACAATTACAAAAACTAATAAAAAATCGATAACAAACTGGGCCATGTGACAAATTTTGGTCATTTTTTACTTTTTTCAATTTGATGCCAAAAACGGCCACTGTCCTTCATTTCACGGGGGTTATGATAAAGGAAGAAATGTTCTCCATCAAATTTCATTAGAGGTCGTCTTTTACACGAAATCTATATCTATAATTATTTTTCCAAAAAAAATCGCTAACAATTTGTCCCTAAAGACTATTTTTGGCCATTTTCGCATTTTTTTCCAATTGAGATTAAATTGGTGACAAAAGCGCCCACTGTGGTTTATGTTATGGGAATAATGTAGAAGGAGGAAATATTCTCCATCAAATTTTACTATGAGTCAGCCTTTACACGAATTCTGTATCTATGATATATATATATATCGATAAAATGTGTTAAAATTTGGGAATTTTTGGTCATTTTTGCACTCTTTCAAAATTAAGGTCAAATTCAAGAATTGCCTCTCACGTTAGCGGATGGATGTCAATGGAAAAAATATTCTCCGTCAAATTTTACTAGGGGTCACGGAACAACCGATATCGGTAATAACGATATATAACAGCAAAAAATGTGATAAAAAGTTAGACAATTATTTGTCACTTTTTGGTCGATTTTGGACGTTTTTTCAATTGAGACTCTTAACGGTATTTATTTTTCATATAAAAGGTGAGATGTCAACGGAAGAAATATTCTCCATCGAATTTCACTATAGGTCACTGAGTACACGAAGTCAATATCAATAATAAATAGCGGTGAAAAATCCGAACAAATTTGGCATCTCATTTTCATTATCATCATGACATCTCATGGTCATTTTATACTTGTTTTCAATTATTGACAAAAACGTCAATTTCTGCTCATGCTAGGAAAATGGTCTGAAAGGAAGAAGTATTCTCCATCAAATTTCACTATAGGTCACTGAGTGCGCGATACATATGTCTAGAACATATTTCGATAAAAATCGGTAAAAACTTGGCCTATATGGTAATTTTTGGTCTTTTTTGCCGCTTTCCTAAAATGAAGGGCAAATTCAAACCTTTCCTCTCTCGTTAGAGGGATTATGTCAATGGAGGAAATATTCTCCATTAAATTTCACTAGGGGTCACCGAATAACAGAAATCGGTAATAATTATATATAACAACAAAAAATGGGAAAATACTTTGTCACATATAACACAATTTTTTGGTCGATTTTGCAGTTTTTCCCAAGTTCGAGCCTTAACGGTATTTATTTCTCATATTACAGCAGTAATGTCAATGGAAGAAATATTCTCCATCAAATTTCACTATAGATCACAGAGTACATGAAATCTGTAATCATAAAAAATATCAATAAAAATGAGGAATATTTTTCCCCTATAAAAAGTGTGTTTTTGGTCGATTTTTTTACTTATTTCTAATTATGGCCGAAAATGAGCATTCTCACT